ATTGTGGCAAATGATATATTGTCAGACTAATTTAGCAAATCTCTTTTGTACTTAAAAACAATTGTACATGTAATAATCTTAGTGTAGAACTTGAAAACATTCACCTCCAAAATGCTTAAGTTTATAATATAAAGGTTTATCATATAGCTTGTATATACATGTACTGTATTATGAATTTAAGACATCATCTGAAAGCAACATTGAAATAAGAATGCAGTTTAAATTTGAATATGGACAGCCACAGGACAAGATAGTGTGCTTGCCATTTTAAACTCTAAGAATTCATGAATTTTTGTTATAAACAAGAAAAGTATTACATACATTCGTATGCAATATAGGTACGATTGCATACTACTTTTTGTGAAGACTTTATGTTTACTGAATTAAAGGTGTAATGTAAAATGAACAAACATGTCATGAGATATGTTATATCTTTAAACATTTTCATGAAATGTAATTAATGTATCACCATATTAAAGTTGCATGCCTTCAGATGAGAAAAATGATTTCAAGGAAATCAAAATATGAAAAGATTCCATACTACTTTTTGTGAAGACTTTATGTTTGCTGAATTAAAGGTGTAATGTAAAATGAACAAACATGTCATGAGATATTTTATATTTTTAAACATTTTCATAGAATGTAATTAATGTATCACCATATTAAATTTAAGTTGCATGCCTTCAGATGAGAAAAATGATTTCACGGAAATCAAAATATGAAAAGAAAATTCACGGTCAATTGACTGCTTTGAAGCATAATCACAAAATAAAATTACAAGAAATTAAAAACCTTTTTAATACACTTAAGGTAGAATTTCATTGTAAATCATAGTCAAAGATTTGAGATATGATAATTTATTCATATTAACCTCATTATTGGTTATAAATTGATAAAAAACCCTCGAAAAACACAGTTTGTAAATATTTATTACCATAAAATATGAAAAAGGTATACGCGCCGAGGTTAGCTATAATTAAAATTCCCGCGCTAAGTCGCGGTGGTGCTTGGGATAATCACTTGATACTGTAAATGGCAGCCATTTTACGATACGAATCTCGAAAAGTTTATTCTGCCGAAAAGATAATGAAAAAAATACTTGTAATTCAAAGTTTGCTGGCTACATAAAGATTATCGATTTACTCTTTGCACACTTTTTCTCTGCCTGAGTATAATAATATTGACGTGTTTGTCCATTGGCTTAAACCATCACGTTACCCAATACACATGTAGGTGTGAACTAATTTCGTGTTCATTAAAATTATTCCGTTAATAGACATATAACAATCTTATTTACAAATGAATTAATAAAACAACAACCCCAGAAGCATTTAAGATAATAACAATCATTGGAAAAAAATAAATGCATATAAATTGTAAACTTGTGTATGACAACTCAACCCCCTAAAACAAAACATAATAGACTCAACCAAAACAAGCGCCTGCTTCTTCACCTAACTATGTAGTTGCATGACCATGAATTAGCAATTTAGCAAACCAAATCTAAGAGATAAACCTATTGTAAAAATAATACTATGACCACAGCAGATTTCGTACAGAAAAAATAATAAACAAAAATAACCAAAACAAAAACAGTGCATGAAATAATCTCATATATGATGCCCTTTTAATCTTTTATTTAGGTAAATAAATACTACAATGTATATCCACTGAGATTTTACACTACACCATGTACACAGATCAGAGCTCTGATAAAACTCAACTGACCAGCAGTTTCCCACAATCTAATGCATGACTAATTTACTCAACTGGTCATTCCAACAGATCAGGCTGTTCCATTGAATTATTTTGGGGAGAGATAACATTATAAATTTCATATGCAGAATTTGTCTAGGACATTGCAAATCTTTATGTACAAAAATTTGTAATGATTTTAAATTCTACATATGTATATCTATTTGTTACTTGAACTTTTTTTACACTCAATGAATGAAAGTTAAGATGATGAGTATATTAACCCTGTTTTACATAATGATTGACCTGTCCATGCAGTTATACAGTTGTGAATTTTGAATTCTAAGATATCTGGGTCAGCAAAAAGAGTGCAAATTACAGAGGATATACTTGATATTTTAACAATTTTAGAGATATACTTTTGTTTAAGATCTCAAAGTGTTTTAGTATTGGTATGATAAATAAGTGTGATAACATGGGACAAGGAGATGTGCAACATTGTATTTTAATCAGGTAATTATAAACTTTTAGTTACATTAATGCAGAAACAGGTTTTATATCAAACTATAAATGGCAGCATTAACTATTAAATTTGTAACAAGAGGTCAACAGTTGTTTTTATATTTTCAACCTCATACATTTGTTTTTTTTCTCTGATAATTGTTTTAAATCTTTAATACATGTATGATGTGTAAGATATAAATTATTCAATGATTCTATATAATGATTGTGTGTATTTGTATAATAATAGCACAGTAGTAGATCTTTTTCATTTCCTGGAAATTTTAAACAAATTAAATCAATTTGATTTAAATAGGAATATAAATGGTACAAATCAGAAGTTTTTGTGCAGCTGAACAAGGTCATCATAATCATTAATTATTTTACATGTATGTGTTGTGTTTCCTATGGAACAATCTAAAATTAAATTTTACACTCATATTAATTTGCAGGCTGGGACTTAAGTGCTGACTGTGAGATGCAAGGTGTTTAATAATGATGTGCAGTATTAATCCTGAAAAGGTATATTTTTAAATCTCAATTACTTTACTTTACTATTCAACATCTTTCCTTGAAAAAATACATAACCAGTAAAAAATAGTGTCACAAATAAAGCAGTTAATTAATTCTTATACAGAGCAATTTTTAAACACTTGTGCACTGAAATAACATACTGCGTAAGCTTTAGTATTTTTGAATATGCATAAGCACAGTTAATATTTGATACTGTTGAAACATAAAAATTATCAAAAAATATGAAATATAACTGCATATAATTATGCAATAAAACATAATTCATTACTACATTTTTGTTCATAATGATAATTAATTATGAATTTTATTATTAAAGGTGAGCACTACCACAAGAAGTTCTAGGAAACACAGGCAGTGGATTTAAAACAGACTTCAATTTAAGAAATAGGAATTTTAATAATCAGAAACATTTGAAACAAATTTATGATTGAAACACTATCAGCAAAATAATTGCAAAAAACAAAGTGTTTTGGATTCTAAGAAAACCAGTACCTACCAAACCCTGCAGCTAAGAAAAAAAACTGTTTGTGTTATAGTGAATGTAGGGTATTCTATTCTGTATTTGGACTAAAGGATATGTATTAAATTTTGTGAAAGAAAATTTAATGTGATACATTATTGATAATTTTATCCCAAAAAATGTGATCATGTTAAACTCATAAAAATTCCGCCCCCATAAATTCTGTCCCAGAATTCCGCCCAGAATCTTGTTTGACAATTCCGCTCCAAAATTATGCGCCAAGATTCCGCTTCAAAATTCCGCCCCAAGATTCCGCTTCAAAATTCCGCCCCAAGATTCCGCTTCAAAATTCCGCCCCAAGATTCTGCTTCAAAATTCCGCCCCAACTCATTTGCATATTTCGTCCCAATTCCGCCCAGAATCCGTCCTGTTTCCGCCTGGAATCCGGCCGGAATCCGTGCCAAAGAAAATGGTTTAACACTTGTATATTTGGGGGAGAATTTAAATTTCTGGGCGGTATCTGCCATTGAATTCCACCCCATTTCCGTGCAGAAAATTTCGTACAGGTAGGCGCGTCATTGAAATATGGTTCTATTATATATCATATAATTTATTCAACTCGTTCAATAAATTCAGTATTAAACTTACACTCATTCAATATCCTCTATTTATCACACACCTGTGAAAATGGTATTGAACGGCCGTGCATATATATTTTGACGTGACGTCATTTGCATTAAACAAACATAGCGTTACGACGCGCTTAATGTTAGCGTTATGCTAAAGGAGCGTCAATAAAAACTTTTTTTATCACTACAAACGGTCTTTATATTTGGTATGCGATAAATAGAATATTAAATTCGTGTATGTTCATTACTTAATTTATTGAACTCAGTGAATAAATCAGTATTATGCTCGATAGTTTATATGGCTAAATATAAACGGTTGTAAGTTTATATATACAACAGTATCACTGGTAAAAAGCGTTATAATTCTGTTGAGCTTTATGGGGTGTAAACAAAATCTATATCCCCGTATTTATGATAAAGCTAGTATTTCAGGGAAAATGGCAATTACTTCAGATTACTTATAAAGATGACCGACAGGCTTATTGGCTCAGTATTAAGGGTTATATTGCACAACAACGGTTGATACACAACTATATAACATGTTGGACATTAATGAAAAATTTATCATACAGCAAAATTACTTTACTGAAAGGGACATCCGTGGCCGAATGGTTAAGGTCGTTGACTTTAAACCACTTGTCCCTCACCGCCGTGGGTTTGAATCCCGACAGGGACTTTGGATTCTTTCATGTGAGGAAGCTATCCAGCTAGCTTACGGAACGTCGGTGGTTCTACTCGGGTGCGCTCGTGCACGGAAGGGCATTTGAGGTCTTTCTCCACCAGCAAAGCTGGAACCTCGCCATATGACTTATACTGTGACGGTGTGACGTAAAACCCAATTAAACAATCAAACACACTTTATTTGAAAAAACGAAGAATACATTATAAATTGACAAATATCGTGTATATATTCCTAGATTATATTAACGTCACAAACATCGAATGAAAAACGACGTTACAAACGTGAAGTATTATATGTTTTATTACAATCAAGTGTTCAGTATTTGAAAAACAGACGTCCAGAAAGAAACGAAAAGAATAATGATAACTAACACACACACACACAAAAAAAACTTGACAAAACATTAAGTAAAGGAATTTGATCTACATAGTTTTACTGAGTCTAACTTTTAAATTACATGAGTTTAAATTGTATGTTTTAAAATTTAAAGGTAACATACCTTGGCAAATATTCCGTTGCTGTTTCAAAAGAAGTGATGCGATCGCCAAGTTTGTTTTGAGCATAGAACTTTTTAATACAGTCGCCATACACTTCGCTAATTGGTAATTCTGGACAGTTATCAGTGGGCGGAGTCCGGGCGAGTTCCACTAAATATAAAATATACAATTTACATTATGCATTGTTTTGAATCAGATACATATTGCAAGGTTAACATGAAATTTTATAACTGTTATAATGTATTTAGTATGCCAATAATGCCAATAATTGTGCTTAGCACGGCATAGATGAATTGTCATACCGTCACAATGGTAATGCATTTCAGACGCCAATAGCTGTGCAAAGCAATGCACTGTGATGAAATGTCATACCGATAATGCATTTCATACATCAATAGCTGTGCATAGCACGGCAAACATGAAATGATATACCGGAATTACCGGTAATGCATTTCATATGCCAATAGCTGTGCATAGCATGGCATACATGAAATGTTATAATGCGTTTTATATGCCCATAGCCGTGCTGGCACCGTATACATGAAATGTTATAATGCGTTTTATATGCCAATAGCCGTGCATAGCACGGCTTACATAAAATATTATAATGCGTTTTATATGCCCATAGCCGTGCTGGCACCGTATACATGAAAAGTTATAATGCGTTTTATATGACCATAACCGTGCTGGCACCGCATACATGAAACGTTATAATGCGTTTTATATGCCAATAGCCGTGCATAGCACGGCTTACATAAAATATTATAATGCGTTTTATATGCCCTTAGCCGTGCTGGCACCGCATACATGAAAAGTTATAATGCGTTTTATATGACCATAACCGTGCTGGCACCGCATACATGAAACGTTATAATGCGTTTTATATGCCAATAGCCGTGCATAGCACGGCTTACATAAAATATTATAATGCGTTTTATATGCCCTTAGCCGTGCTGGCACCGTATACATGAAATGTTATAATGCGTTTTATATGCCAATAGCCGTGCATAGCACGGCTTACATAAAATATTATAATGCGTTTTATATGCCCTTAGCCGTGCTGGCACCGTATACATGAAATGTTATAATGCGTTTTATATGCCAATAGCCGTGCATAGCACGGCTTACATAAAATATTATAATGCGTTTTATATGCCCATAGCCGTGCTGGCACCGTATACATGAAAAGTTATAATGCGTTTTATATGACCATAACCGTGCTGGCACCGCATACATGAAAAGTTATAATGCGTTTTATATATGCCCTTAGCCGTGCTGGCACCGTATACATGAAACGTTATAATGCGTTTTATATGCCAATAGCCGTGCATAGCACGGCTTACATAAAATATTATAATGCGTTTTATATGCCCTTAGCCGTGCTGGCACCGCATACATGAAAAGTTATAATGCGTTTTATATGCCAATAGCCGTGCATAGCACGGCATACATGAAATGTTGTAATGCGTTTTATATGCCAATGGCTGTGCGTAACATGGCCTACATATAATTTGTTCGCTTCATAATTTTGTTTAATAATACATATAAATTAACACAATCAAATGAAAGTAAGAACTTAAAACACGTATGATACTCTGCTATTTTGTTCAATTCATTAAAAACTTATTAATAATTTAAAGGTCTGTATGTTACGAATAGTAAAGATGTGTTTAACATAAACCAAAACATGTTCATCAATCTAAACATTTACGTAACGCAAAACACAGCTTTAATTGTTTTAAAGATCTTTGTTGTGACAGTGTCACATTTTTAATTTATTTTCAAGACTGAAAATTATTGTGAAATCTAAAAAAAAAAAAAAAAAAAAAAAAAACAACAGATAAAAAAAAAAAAAAAAAAAAAAAAAACAATTTCGTACCTGATTGAAGCCACTCCGAGACGTCGTTGCCATCACAAAAAGTGTCCAGTTTTCTTTTTATAGAATCGGCCACCTGGTCATATTGCTCTGGACATTGGTCAGACAGTGATTTTATGCAGTTCAGGTAGGATTCTTTACGCGTCACATTACTGTTATTGGTAGAAATATATTGAAAAATATGATATCAAGATTGTTTATAAGATATAGTTATATATCAGCCTTCTAATACCTTTATCATTTCATTATTACAACTTCTATAAGATGTTCGTATACATGTGTTAAATAAATTTGTTAGATACATGAATTCATAATAAATTACTTAATTAGTCCAATAAATAGCACAAACTAGGGACAACGTTATCAAGTTTGCCTCCTCCTGTCAATGCAAAAGAAATAAACACGGAAAGCATAGTTATATATATGTTGCTTACTTACAGGAAGTACGTAATTTGAAGTTGAAAGACATATATTTTGTATTCTAGCACATCCGTTGTAGGCCGTGACTTCAGGAAGTTACGACATGCGCAGGATTTACCGCAAGAACAACAACAAAAATGAACTATATATCGTACGAAGAACTTTGTCAAATTAGCATTCGTTCTTAAATGGACATAGCGGTGACATAATTCGTTTTACAATGTTTTTCATTTAAACCTGTTGTAACAGAAATCTTGGCTATATAAAAATTGCCATATTCTAACATCACTACATAAACAAGTTGTCTTTTCATCAAAAAATAACACAATATACTCCGACGAAAAGAAAACGTTTGAAATGGTATTGTGAGTAAGGAACACCCACCAGACACTGACATTGTGCTTTATTTTTTGTTTCGTTTTGTTGTAAGATAAAAAGCAAACATATTACAGTCCTTAAAGAACGCCCCAAACGACGACAGGTTCGTTTTGATTGAGCTGGTTCAAGAATGGAAGTGACAAAATTCAAGCTTTCTTCCCCACGCCCTCTAGTAAGCAGTATTCGACATTTATACATGACAATGAGGAAATTTGGAATTAGAAACAACCGTAGATGCGTTGAGACGGCGGTGATCATTAATTGAACGCTCAATATGTCATTCTCGTGTCATAAGTTTGTTAAGGATATACGTGCATTTATTGAACACATAATTGATATAGTCGGTGTTTAGCGTTTAACCTGTTTATTTGCCTTTCCAGCAATTTTAGATTTGCCCAGCCGGCGTTCTGAGCAGTCTGACAAGGCACTATACTGTTGATAGCTCAATTGTTTTCGTATTTCGATGTTGAAACCATAATACTTTGAATAGACTATACCAAATTCAAAGCAGGGAAACTCGTTGCAATATTCAACAGGGAGATTTTAAGGTTTCAAATATTTGTTTTGAAATTTTGATGACGATTCGGAGTCATACATTCGGGGTCAAACTTTGTCGTGCTTTTTTGTGAATAATGACGTCACCTGCAAGTTGCTCGTGCGTCGCTCAGTAATTCGCCTCGCATGTTAAACATGCCATCAGTTCTACAAGTCATTTCATGTAGTGCATAATCCGTGTACTTTCTACAGTTGAAGCTTTCATTAGAAACGCCGACCGGAAGGCAAACAGTAGATTGGAAATGAAACAAAACCAGAAATAACACTGCTGCTGAAACATAAACAAAATCTAAAAAAAAGAATAATAAATTTGGAGGCTATTCGTTGCCAAAAATCCAGTCATGTTGATCTGAGTTTGTTTACGGACAAAATACAATTGTATTTCTTTGTATGTAAACTCCAATGTTGCGTTCTTAGACTGAGTTTGTCGATTTAACATTGTAAACATACATTTCAACAAAATACATTTTGTTAAACGACAAAACATTAACTGTTTTTCTGATAGTTAGCAATACCAAGTGTTCTTCATAACATGCGGAATACTCATTGTTCGTGTATACGCCGACAAAACAGAAGTTACTTTCTTAGGTTTACATTGTCGAACGATCATGATTTGGATCACAATAGGTGATGAAATAAGCTCCGCCCATTTTTTCGCCCACTACATCATCGTACTTATCCGCTCATTTTCGGTATTTACCGTCAACGACAAGAAGGAAACAATAACACGCACCGGCGTAGTTTCCGTTTACCACACCTTTTAGGTGTTTTTACTGAGAGGATTCCAATTTGGAAAGGAATGAGTAACATTGACAGTTAAGCTTTCAATTTTTCAAGTCAACATCTGTTATAATAATGATACGACTAAATACTAATGCAGACCAAATTCTGGCTGTTGTCTTTCGAAGTAGTAGCATTTACTATTACATTAGTAACCTTAATTCTAACGTATGTCTTTACAAGAAAAAACTTATAACAATAGTAAAATTAAAACCAATGTTGTATGTACCCTTTCAAACATAACTTTTTATTTTTACCATACTGTATAGATATTTTTCCATTTTTCCATTTTTACCATTTTTTTTCCAATTATAATATTTAAATGAGTCCAAAGGTAGTATGTTGATTATCAATTTATGTATACCTTGTTTATTTTATCTCTCAGAAAGCCATCACTTACAAAACTTAATAAATATTCTGCGTACTATTTCATGTACATACAAATAGTTATCTGCTTTTGATCAGATAGACAACAAATCTAGGCAACAGCTATTGACAGCATGTATACAAAGATTTTAGAGCTGTTATTGATTCAGTACAATGCATAAAAGAAGACCTTAACCTACGTCAGCTTACATATATTTAATAATAAAAGGCTAAATCACATCCTATGACTCAAAATACCTCCCAATGGAGGTAAACAGAGATGCTAGGATACACTGAATATTTATTTCAACATTAAAATGGGACAAAGTTTTGGTTATACATGTACTACGGAATTATCAATAGTAAACTTTGAATAGTTCCGTGGTTATACACTTGGTAAAAAAATCGGGTTTTTCTACAAGCCAATATAGTCCTTTAAAGAAGAGGCTTACAGTTCTTTTTATTCCTGTTGCCAAAAGTGACTTCCATGTAACGCATTCTAGTACTGTTTGCTGAATGTAAAAGACATACGTATGCGTACCACCGTTATAACGTTTGAAGACACACAAACCCTATCCTATTAATTTTTTAAAACTGGTTCGTGTTTTTTTTTATATGGGAAACATTCCCTTATTTTAATTCATCAACTTTAGTTTTTGCATATTATTATGCTCATTAATTATCAGTATAAACGTTGTTGCATTGTTACATTATCACCGTAGGGAACGTGTTACAGTATCGCGTTTTTCGGTTACAGTATAGAATTTTAAAGATGGAGGATTATTTGTTGGGAAGAGAGGTAGGTGATTGTTATTCAGGTCCATACTACAAGTAGTTTAGTTTCTAAAAGATGTTTTTGTGCTTTGCTTGTTAGGAACAGAGTCCGGTATCTAGTCATATATTTCTTCAGACCCTGCACCGCAGATTTATCTCTATAATGTCTCATAAATTTGCAGATTTGACAGTTTGAAAATTTAAACCGAGAGACCAACGCATTTTTCTGCAATTTCGACATTATTTATGCATGCCTGGAAAAAGTAAATCTGCAAAACGTTAGTCCTTTATGTTAGGAAACGTTTATAAAAGTAAATGACCAGTTGAACTTATTTTCCTGTTTGTAAAATGCGTTTGAAAAAATAAACAATGTTACAGTATAGAGCGGGGTAATTTGTGCAGGGTTACAGCATAGACCTAGCGATTTGTATCCGATTTCGTTACAGTTTATACCCAGATTTCGGTTACAGTTTAGACTTCGATATTTTCTATTTAATTATACTAGGTAAAATGTATGAATGTTACATAGACTTTTAAATCTCTGTGAGCTTATTGGCACGATGGGTATTCGTCCGTCTGTCGTACACATGTGTGTGCAATCTCATCCGTTCAGTATAACTACTTGACTAAATGTGATGAAATTTACAAGACCTTTTACCAATTAAGTTGTTCAAATGGTTTCGGTTGCAATCGGGGATACGAAAACCCAAAACATAGATTTTGAAAAAGGCAATGTTTAAAGACCCTACTCATCTCGAACCAAAAGCATTCAAATCAAATCATGATCATGGCGTCATTTCGAATGCTTCTTTGTTGAAGTTACGATTATTTTGTCATTATTAAATTAAAAGTCGTTTTTTTTTTATTTCAGACATCCTGTATAGCAGTTTTCATTTTCTGAAAAAGAAAATATTATTGAAAGTTATAGAGTATAAATTAAGGTCAGACAAATACAATATCTTCACTAGTGAGCCTGATGGAGGTACATAATAGTGGCAGAGTCGGGATAAGGCCGTCGACTTCAAATCATCTTTCATTTACTGCTGTAGTTGAAATCCAATCATGACTTTGGATTCTTTGTATGTGAGCAATCTATCAAGCTAATTTACGGAAGGTCGGTGGTTCTAGTTAGGTGCTCGTGTCTGAAATGTTTCACAAAGGGTATCTGGGGTCTTTCTTTACACTAAAGCAGGAATGTTTTCACATGACCTCAGTGTCGTTGAAACTTAAAATCCAAGAAAGCCAAACGTAACAAAATAGAGTTAAACAGAATCCCTAAAGAAATTCCAACACAACAAAATTGAAAATGTTCATAAACCTTTTTATATACTTACAAAATACATTATGGTAGATGGAAATTCCAACTTAAAATAGAATTTAAGGTTGAAGTATTGCTCACTTAAATACTGTTTGATCATTCTTAGGGTATTGCCTGATTGTTAATTGTGTCTTTTGACATCTTATCTATGGTATGCAGGCTTCATAACCTCCGATCCCCTCTCAAAATTTCATTTTGTTTAGTTTCACTCATTGTATTCTCGTTTAGGGCACACGCAATTTTTAACCTGGGAGGTAATATGCCGCTTTTCATAGAATGGCAATAACGTGTCACATTGAAGGTTCCATGATAACCGCCATATGAACACATCCACAGATGTTAAAAAATCTGATGGTTTAATGTGAATTCTGCTGAAGCCGGTGCTAGGAGGCGTGAACGGTAGCTTGCAGTTACCACTACCGTCCATGAACAGGTTTAGTCAAACTGAGCCTGCAACATTTTCATGTTTTCCGTGTTGGACTTCTGTTAAGGATTCTTTTTTTTTCTCTATTTTATTACTAATAGGCATTATTATAATGTGTATTGAAATCAAACAATCTTTCTTCTCTCATTACAATTCGATAAAAGTTACTGTTGTTGTCGTGAAAACAGTCCTTACTTAGGACATTACTTATTTCTGCAAAAAGTCTCAATCTGAAACTTAAAGTAAGAAAAATAGCATACTATAACTTTTCTGCTGAAGAAAAAAAGTAATGCAACCTTTCAAGAATGTATTAAATAGAAAGGTATGAGTTATTTCATAAAAATAATGGATACACGAACTTTGTTTGAAATTTGGCAAGTATCTAAACTGTAACCGAAATCTGGGTATAAACTGTAACAAAATTGGATCAAAGTCGGTAGGTCTATGCTGTAACCATTCAAAATTAACCTCGCTCTATACTGTAACATTGTTTATTTTTTCAAACGCGTTTTACCAACAGGAAAATAGGTTCAACTAGTCATTTACTTTTATAAACGTATCTAAACATGAAGGACTAACGTTTTGCAGATTTACTTTATCTAGGCATGCTTAAATAATGTCGAAATTGCAGAAAAATGCGTTGGTCTCTCGATTCAAATTTTGAAACCGTCAAATCTGCACATTTATGAGACAATATAGAGATAAATCTGCGGTGCAGGGTCTGAAGAAATATATGACTAGATGCCGGATTCTGTTCCTTACAAGCAAAGCACAAAAACATCTTTTAGAAACTACACTACTAGTAGTATGGACCTGAATAAAAATCACCTACCTCTCTTCCCATAAATAATCCTCCATCTTGAAAATTCTATACTGTAACCGAAAAACGCGATACTGTAACACGTTCCCTACGGTGATTATATCTTAACCAATTTGGCATTACTTGAATATCCTGTGCTAGAATACGTTTTAACAAAATCAGAGGATATTCAAAGTCAACTGTAATGCAGTTGATGTATGTGAAATTTATAAAAGTTTTATATAATTTGAAATATGTTTGTACCAGCAAGAGTTACCTATCTTTACATTCCGCTTTCGTGAAAATTGGCTCCGACTATTAATTTTCCGCCTCATTCCGTGTTAATTCCATATATGGAAGTTGCAAAATCGTTTACGGTCTCAACCCGGTACGGAATTAGACCCAGCCCATTGTAGTCTAGAAAGTAGTTCTTTAAAATTATGAAATGGCCCAATTTAAGTCATCTCTAGTTAGATTGTTCATAATAAGAGTGTATTTATTGCATGTGTGTAGTTTTTGTGTGTTATATGATGACTTTAAAAGTTGTTTTTTGTGTATTCTCCAGGAACTCATTTGTTGGTGGAAGGATTAAAGATGTACTACCCACCAGCTGTCAGGAGTTTTTAAAGTGGTGAATTTAAACAGTGTTACAACAGAATGAAGATTTCTGAAAAAAGTAGATGGCTAACCTATTATATTTTGGGCATCATTTGACTTAGATAGTGTTAATGTTTAAAGTTGAAGACAGTATATAATTCATCAAGAACATTGGAATCCAGAATTAAACCTCAAATTTGACTGATTTACTATAGAACTAATAGTACGAAAATTCACCGGGCCGAGTCCTTACAAATGTTAATCGCGTTAGAATGTGAAAGGAAAGTGTGGTGTTGTCAACCTGAGAGTGTCAACTGATGCAGTTACATTATCAACGTCATGATGCAAGCATTAAACATGTTGTGTATGTTTTATCGTTTACATTTCTTCCATTGCATATTTGAAGTTATACATTTCTAAATACAGTTTGCAATTTATCTAAGTTGCATGTTTACAGCTTCCATTTTATCAAATCGAGAAAATCAAAACGCGTAATACCAGTGCAGTATATAACTCTCGGATCGACAATTAGATTTTCACTAATCTGTTTAGTCAAGTTTCAAAGGCTAGATTTCTGGTAACGAATAGCCTCCAGTCTTCCGCATGTTATAATGAACACTTGGTATTGCTACGATCAGAAAAACAGTTAATGTTTTGTCGTTTAACAAAATGTATTTTGTTGAAATACATGTTTACAATGTTAAAACGACAAACTCAATCCAAGAATGCAACATTGGAGTTTACATACAAAGAAATACAATTGTATTCTGTCCGTAAACAAACTGTTCGACTCAGGTCAACAAGGCTAGATTTTTGGCAACGAATAGCCTCCATAAATAAATAGTATTGATAAAATAACTGAAATAGTTCTATTACAGTTTCATATGTGGATATTCATCAAATTTCGCCCATGATGCAGAGATTTGCATTCTTAACAAATTGGTTCGAAATAAGTTTAAAATTGATGTTTGTTAGTAATATACAAATTAAAAAAATCATACTAAATGAAAAAAAAATGAAATAGAATAATTAAATTTATATATTATTTATGATTTTCTGCAATAATCACTACATTTATTATTATCAACTTATAATTTGCTATATCCTATAGTAATTTGCTTAGATAAATTGATATTTGAAGTAATTTTACAACTATTATTAATCGAATGCAAATTGTCAATTACACTTCATTTTTGTTATTCAATTGATATTATTGTAAGTGAAGAAGGGAGCGTTCTTCCGAGAAGAATTTCAGCTAAACAATATAGGTAAAAACAAATCGCACCGGTTTGACTTAGTCTTCTCATGGTTTGCAATGACATTTGCAACATTTCTCATGACCCATAGCACCGTAGCACCGGTATTGAACTTACACTCATTCAATATCCCCTATTTATCACAATATCTTAAATATTAAATTTAAATTCAGTTTTCATATCCTGGTCATATGATATAATTTTTTAACATAAAATAGCATCTTCATTAAATTTTGATCTTAGACACATAATTTTCAGTATTTTAATGAAATTTAACAAGAAACAATTACATAAAGAATGTACCGTGTTTCCACATGTTGAATGTTTTTAATGTTCCACAAGCAAATTTTATATGAGTGTCGCAAAGAACAGAATAACTGAATTTATTGCATTCTAATTCCAGTCTGAAAACATAGCTTTATATGACCAGCACTGTGTATGTGATTATCATGACCTTTTACAAGATGTATTAATACAACATATTAGAGTGAAATGTTTTTCATGACTGAAATTATTTTCTGTTTTGACATTTAGAGGGCATCATTAACTCCCTTTAGTAGACTAAATTCTATAAATAACACTAAAATGGTTGATATTTGATCAAATTAGCCACTTTTGTTGTCGCATATATTATACTTACTCTAGTAGGCTGGTTACCTGTTTCAAGCAGAGTCGAGCAAATCACTCTGAATCATGTTTTTAAGATACATACAGATTCTGCTCCTTTTTACATGAATGAACATTTTATTCCAGCCAGTTCTGGAAATAATCATAAAACAAGGTTTTATTTACACTGTCTCGTTTATAGGAACATGGTGGGGCTAAGAGCGAGGTTTGGTGCACCATTAACCGGTTTAAACTCCCCAGCAGTCATTATTATGCTGCTGACCGTTCCAAGGCGGCGCCCCACTGTGTTCCTCAGATGTATGTCTTATGTTGTTTCATACTGTTTTGGTGACACTTTTGCTTGTGTCCCTTGTTGTTTTCTCGTCTACGGTAAGTATCTTCCCCATTGCCTCTAGTTTTTATTTCTTTGATTACTCCCCACCCCCTCCCCGGTCTCCTGTCCCCTTCCCCTTTGTGGGCCTATTTTTATTTTCTTTGAATTCCTAATCAGTTACAAATTAATTATCATTTAATGATTAACCTGTGCGTGCTCTGTCTTTGCCCTGTCCTGTTTTTGTTTGGGGTCCCCCTGGGCTCCTTGCCATTGGTTCTTGTTGCTGGGTCATGTGGGGGTTGCGTTCATTGAACGCCGCCTTTCCTTGTTGATCTTGTTTATCATATTTTAGTATAGGATCTTGCGACATAATTCCTAAAGTACAAGTGTGGGTAAAAATGTCTTTTTACTATAAAGGTTGCGGCCTGTGGAATAAACTACCACAAGATAAACACTTCGACACAACAGTTAAAGGTTTCTTTAAAGAACATCTTTAACAAGTGTGTAGAAAGTTTTTTCCATATGCTGTGATATCTTGTTTATTATTCTGATTGATATAAGCATTATTCTTGTCTCCTTGATTTATTACAATGTATACAAAGTTCATGTGCCTTGCTAAAGTCTTTCTAAATGATAATGTTTTTACTGTGTTTCAGTTTGTCTTCTTATCACTAGTTTTAAGGTTTTATTTTTCAGTCATACTTAGCTTTTTTATTGTGCTTTTTATTTGTCGTTCTTTCACTCATGACATTAATTGTGTGATATTGTTTCTCATGCCAAGTATTTGTACACTGAAATAAAAATTTTATATACTGAAATAAAATATTGTTATGGATTATTATTATATTTTGTACTCTGCTGACGCCGGTGTTAGGGGGCGTGGACGGTAACTTGCCCTTTCCATCCAGTATAGTCCATGAACAGGCTTAATCAAAACGAGCCTGCAACAGTTTCATTTTTTTGCCGTTTACGACTTTTTTCCCTATTTTATGTTATAAACTTTTACACACGCACTCTTAAATCATTAAATCATCAAACATCAATGAATATAAACATATGTTTAAAATATATATATAAAATTCTGGAAACAAAGTGATCCCTCGGTAGCTTTAATCACAACAAAATAACATAAGAATTGCAGAATTGCAGACTCAAATATACACACATTGAACGACAACTTTTGTTGAACATGCTAGTATAGTGCCTTGAAAAATTATTTAATTTTTTACTGATTGTGCACTTTGACATTTCGTATATGTCATGCCATTTAGAAAGAGACATCATTAATTATCTCATTTTATTCATTTATATAGAAAAATACTTAATGTAAGATAATATCAAACTTAATGTCAGATAATTATATTACAGTGTTATTAATCAGCCAGATCAGAAAGAAATTCTGAATGACCCCAGCGTAAAGTGCACAGATATACATTTAGGTACAAAAGTCTCTGAATATGACACAAACGCTTCTGCTGTCAATCGGAACATCCTCGGCTATTATTCATAAGGTCAACTCAATTGTATTGGTCGTCATATTTCATTTACTTTTGGAATAACCAGTACTCGTATCTTGGTAAATGCAACAATTCACACGCCCTCTAGCACCGGCTTGAGCAGAACTCAATTTTCAACACTTCAATGTGTTGGAATCAACGATCCAGAAAGAAAAAGTTTGTTTACTAAATGCCATTTTTGCGAATGTTGTGCAATAAACCTCAAATAATTTGATTGATGTTTAATTACTGTTGCACATTTCTAAAACAGTGGATTTTTCCAATCGCTGATATTTTATCTCCTGCGGTTTTCTCTATTTTCCATTCTTAAAAAATATGTAAATATTCATTTGTTTTGTCTTAAATTCTAACAATATAGATTTAAGTACAATGTCCATAAGTTTATACTTCTGAGCTTTACATGATTTAACTAATACTTTGACATAATTTGCTGCAAGAATCATAACATGGCCATGGTGATTCCAATACCATGAATTTCAATTACTTCTAATTCGATTTAAGGAAAAATGAAAAGACAACAATCTTTCTCTTAAAAACAGTGTTCAAATGAAACCAGATGATTTGTTTTGAAAATAGTTTGAAAAAGAGATGTTAAGAACGATGTTAAATAGGAATATATTTTGACATTTATTAGTATGATGCACCATACCCTGCTATTTATTAAATGGTAAGAACCTGTCAGACTTAAAGTTCACATGTTAACTGCCATATGAACATATCTGCTAATTTTTCTAAATTCAGATATAATATACACAATTTTATAATTACATGTTTGTTGTGCTTAAGCCGGTGCTAGGGGACATTGGCTGTATCCTCATTTACTACTATCGTTTATGAACAGTCCCGATGAAACCGAGCTTGGAACATTTTCAGTTATGCCATATAATGCGTTCTGAAGGGATTTCGTTATTTTTTATGTAAGATTGACATTTGGTTAGGCTATGGTTGACTTTTTAACATTTTCTTTGAATAACTGACTTTTTTAGCCAGACCATTTGTAACTTCAAAATAGTTTGAAAGGGAAACAATTCAAGGGGAGCATTTGTGTACTAAACTATAAAACAAAATAAAAAAAATGTCAAACATATGAGCCGTGTCATGACAAAATCAACATAGTGGGTTTGCGACCAGCATGGATCCAGACCAGCCTGCGCATCCGCGCAGTCTGATCAGGATCCATGCTGTTCGCTTACAAACCCTATTACAAGTACAGAAACTGATAGCGAACAGCATGGATCCTGATCAGACTGCGCGTATCTTTGCTTGTTGTCGTTTAAATTATGATTAAGGTAATCAGAAAAATGCATGATCAATAATTACTTCTTATTAATGGAAACTATTAATCGATTATTGATCGATTACATTACTTTTCACGATTATCAAAATTATTATGATGTACACATCAGCGTTACTCAATCATCTCCCCTGATACACTTATTACCATTTCATTTCATTTCATTTATTGGCAAATCGGCATAATAATGCCTTTGACCATTTACACATACTAATACACATGGTCAAGACATACAGTATACATAAAAGATACACAAATGAATACACATTTAATCTTTACATAATAAATAATCACCATTAACACAATTTTTAACTCACAAAGGTAATAAGACCTACGAAGCAGCATTATTTTCAAGGGTTAGACTTCTCAATTTATAAGCTTCTGTTTAAACTTTGCATTTTTTACAATACTAGTTCTACGTTTTGATGACATAATATTAATGAACTTTTGTACAGAAGGCCAAGCATTATTTGTAAAATATTTCTGTCGTAGGTCATAATATTTATTACAACATTACAAAAAATGATACTCAGATTCAACGGATTGTGATTGACAAAGTTTACATATACGATTTTGTCTTTCAATGCCAGTATATCTACCTACTTCAATTTCGAGATTATGTGCTGATATTCTAAATTTAGTGTATAGCTCTCTTTGTTTACTTTTAGCTAAAATATCTAGATATTTTTCATAACAAAAATCGACTTTAAATTGTTTATAGTATTCAAGTTTAGCTACATTACGAATCTCCATTTGCCAGTTTTGGATATATTGATCGCGTAGTCTTTGTTTCAAAATACAAAAATAGTTACAGGAAGAGTCAAAATTTGACCATATATCACTGAAACCTAGACTATCAAGTACATTTTTAATTTTATTTGACCAAGAATTTGCGTTTTGGGAATTACATTGCTCTCTAAAAAGTGTATACATAGGCATGTGTTGATTACTCATTATTTTTATCCAGTATTTCAATGCCCTCTCTTTCATTAAAACTGATAAAGGGAAACGACCCAATTCACCTAAAACTGCTAAATTTGAAGATTGTGTTCGAACCCCAAGAATATGTTTACAAAATTTTATGTGAAGTTTATCTATTTCCTTAAATTCATAAATGCCCCAAATTTCCGAGGCGTACAATAAAATAGGTAGAACCATAGAGTCAAAAAGTGAAAGTTTCGTTTTGATATCAAGATTTATTCTAGTAAATAATGACAAGAGGCAATTATATGCTTTGAGAGCTTGGTCAGAGAGCACCTTAACAGCATTTTTCATATTCCCAGTGTAAATAAAATTTACACCTAAATAACAAAAATTATCTACAATTTCTAATTTTTCAAAACAATTAGATTGTTTTCTCTTTTCAAAAATACAAACTTTGGACTTTTTGGTGTTTATCTTAAGGCCCCATTTAATCGAGTATTGATAAATGCAATCAAGTTGGGCTTGCAAGCTGGCTGCATTCGTCGTAAATAAAACAATGTCATCAGCAAAAATTAACATATACATTGATAACTGGTTCAAATCACCCTCCGATAGATTATTTAAATCTAAACAAGTATTAATATCATTGAGGAACAAAATAAAAAGTAAAGGCGAGAGAGGTTCCCCTTGTTTTAAACCAATACTGACATCAAAAAGATCTGACATATTTACGTTCGAAGACAATTTAACGCATGCTTTAACATTTGCATAAATAAATTTCAACATTGTAATGATCTTACAGCTAATATTAGATT